AATACCTATTTTAGAGAATGTTTATGTAAGAGCCATAACAACTTCATGCATCAGGGTGTGGAATCAAACCCAGGACATGTACATAATCCCATAAAAACCCTCACAATTGCTTTCATCAGGGTGTATATTCAAACTTGGAACATTTATGTAGGACTGTGAAAATGAAAAATTGCTTGTATATTTCTTGAAACACATCTGTTAAAGGTAGTTCTAAATTTGAAAGGAAGTATTTGAATAGTTGAAGGAATAAATGCTGACTCTCTTTTGGGACAAACAAGGTGTACTCTTGGAGCACTATCACCAGTGCCTCATATTCAGAACTCTTGAAGAATCATCTTCGACCTGCAGTCAGATCAAAGTGACGTGGACTTTTAACTAGAGGTGTCCTTTTGCAACGTGACAATGCTCGGCCCCATACTTCCCATGCAACAGTTGCAACAATACAAGACTTGCACTTTGAGTGTCTTCCACATCCGCCATAATCACCAGACCTTGCCCCAAGTGATTACAACATGTTTGGGCCACTCCAAGAGGTCATGGGAGGAAAGAAGTTCCGTTCTGATGAAGAGGTACAGCAGGCGGTGCATGAGTGGTTGTGCAGACAGCCACAAGAATTTTTTTATAGAGGAATCCATACACTTTGTAAACACTGGAGGGCCTCTCTTAACATTTATTATATATATTTCACAATTGTGCCTGCACATGCACCAGTTCACAAGCTCCAGAAGGCATAATGTCACACTATTTGCAGTTTAAATCTCAGAATTGTGAAGTTAAAATCTGGCTGAAGTACATTTAAATTTCAGTAGGAAATTTTTTCAGTGTCATGCTGTACTTAATTTCACTGTGATCAGTCTTGTACTTGTACATTATAGCCATCAAATGGCACTTTATCTCATTGCCACTGAATATTAGAAGTTCTGAGAACAGGGCTGTGGACAGTTATGGTATAGTGAATAGGCTGTCGGCTGGATGACCAAGGAATCAGGGTTTGATTCCTATCAGTGGTAAGAGATTTTTCTGTTCTGCACAGTGTTCAGACTAGCTTTGGTGCCTACCCAGCTTCCTGTCCAATGGGTACTGGGAGTACTTTCCCTAGGAGTTATATGGCAAGAGAGGCTGCCCCATAGCTCAAGAGGTTAGTCACTGGGTTACCACTGCGGTGGCCCGGGTTCGATCCCAGGTCTGATCAAGTGGGATTTGTGGTTGCCAAAGTGGCGCTGGGGTGGGTTTTTTCAAAGTACTTCAGTTTCCCCAGCCAATCTTCATTCCACCAAATTCTCCATCATAATCACCCGGGGCAGGCTACAATAGGCCAATCAGTGGCCGCTGTGCCGAGTGGACCCAGTTGGACTCCACCCCCCACTAAGCAAATTAAAAAAAATTAAATTATGTGGCAAGAGTGTGAAGGTGATCACTTATGTCCAGCTGTTTAGATTAAGAATAGACAGAACTCTGCCTGAACTCCCCAGTACCTTTTGATGGCATGTTGCTCAGCTAAGCACAGGGACAACTGTTCATATGAATTTTGCATTGTAAATTAACTGATTTTGAGAGGTAAAATTGGGAAGAGGCTAATTTCAAACCTTGTTGAGGGTGCACAAAGGCCTTGTTCCTGCTCAAGTTGCAGAGCTTTTCTTAATATTGTTGAGGAATTGCAGATTATCAAAGAACTGTGTCATGATTTTAAGACACTTAGTCCGTTCCAGCGCAGATTGTATATCCCAGCTCACCCTTTAAGAAATTGAACTTGAAGAGCTATGTGCTGCATTTATGCATGAAGTTAAAATTTGTTCTGTTAAAATTTACCTGATGACAAATATATCAAACACATGACTTTAATAGTAGGACAGAGTGGAATATATTAGCTTTTTATTTCGTCGATTTTATCATAAGCTCTGTTGTCTTAAGGCTGATGGTAACTGCTGCTAGAGAAGTGAAGTTTTTCAGCATTATATACAAGTTTCATACAAGACTGACGTCAAAAAATGTTGCAGTTAAGTCAAATCTGGTGCACATTTGTTCTCTTGTACTTTGCCCAAGGATGGTGTATGCATTGACTGTGAGAACCATTGAGTGAACTGTTAAAGAAAGAAATGGCTGTGTTCTTACCAAATATGGCCTTGGCTTTCTTCAGCAAGCAACATTTTCCTTTAAACTCCACATACAGGCTCTTTCATCTTCACATTTAAGCAGAATATTTATCCACCATCGCAAATTTTATGCTTTTTATAAAAACCAGTATAAAATGTTTAATTCACTGTGCTGTTACTTGTTAAAGTAATTTGATCAATCATACTTAACAGATCCTGCAAATGATATGCTAATCTATAAGGCAGCTGTAGATATTTCTCAGCTGATAAAACTAGAGGATGCCATGAGCTCTTTAACACTTGGACCCAATGGAGGGTTGATGTTCTGCATGGAATTCCTTGAAAAGAACATGGACTGGTTGCTGCAACAACTATCCAATTACAAGGACCATTACTTTCTGTTTGATTGCCCTGGTCAGGTATGTGCTGATTATTATGATAACAGTATTTCATTATTTCATTTTTTTAATATTGAACCATACTCAAAACCATTATCATATACACAGAAACCAAAAAGAGTTCTGTTGAATACAGATACAACAGCATTAATCCACTTCTGAGTATACAGGAGATTTAATTCTCGTGCCTAATATGCCAGGAAAGAAGGAAAGGTACAGTAACTGCATGTATTAACATGGGTCTTCTCAAAGCTGCTGGTTCTCTGGCCTTGCTAGCTTGGTCCAGTTGGCTCCCTATCATCCTTTCCTTGTGATGTGAACTGATGTCAGGTACCCCATGGTATGTTCTTCCTAACATAAGACTCACATGTAGCTGTTCTACTAAATCTGTTACTTTTCCATGTCTCTAATTATTATCTGAGGCCTGACGCATACACATAAACCCTCTCTCCCTTTTATAGTGACCCTAGTTTAAAATACTGGTAAATTCATACATGTTAGTCTGTAATAGCATGTGCAGCCATTGTAGCAAAGATGTTAGTGTCTCTGCAGTTGGAGATATAATTTGTTATGTGTATAAGAGCATTGGTTAATTCTGTTTTTTCTCAAGGTGCACAACTGCGAAGGTAAATTCTTTATTTTGGTTATGTGGCAAGGTGAACTTAGCCTGTTTGATTTTAACCAGTGTAGTTTAACTTGGTGTGCTGTAATCTGGAACATGAAGCTGTAGAACTCAAAAGTTATATGTTTAGTGAAGTGGTTCATGTTAAAATTGGAAAATACATACTGTGTTTCTCAGTTGGTCTAACTGTCTGCAGGTACAGGGGCTTAGTATGACAGTCATGTTGAATGCTGTGTGCCACACCATCAACTTATGCTGTGCATGTAACATTTGCTGGAACTCTAGCTAACTTCAGTTGCCAACCATTTTGTAACATTCTCATATGACTCTTCCTGAACTCTTCGTTGTTCTCGCTCTCTTTATGTGTTGTTTGGCAGTGTGTTCTTCAAGTGCAATTTCCATTGTTATTATATTACTTAAATTGTCAGATATAATTTCTTTTCCCTGTTATAGAGTAATACCTCCTCTAATCTAGCTTTTACTTGTCAGCAATAATATATGGATGGTCTGCAAGCTGGTGGACAGCATTGTTTTTCTCTAATTTGTCCTGAGACACCCTTTCCATCTTGGAAGTATGATGCCAACAGTGGAATCTCAGATGATAGGATTTCCCTTCCTTTTGTGTAGTAGCTGAGAGAATAGTGGGGTAGTGCCTGAAACAAAATTATCTGGTGTTATACTGCATCTTTTATAAAACATAGTATTGTGAACAATTTGGGAAGTTTGAACATTCAATATTGCTGCAAACATTGCAATCCAGCAAGGTTTCTTTTATAAGGTGGATACCAGCAGTTGCATATCCTGTTGCAAGATGAGTTACATGTTGAACTACTGTTCCAGGTGCTTATAAGGAACTGGATTGCTGGGTTTTCAGCCATTATTCCACTTTTATAGTCCTGTTAATTACATAAATTAACATGTGGTTTGTTATGGGAAAGATTATGTTAGACTCATAAATCATCATACACTGTCAGGCTTTCAGATTTGAGCTGTGTTTGCTGAATTCCTTCCATTACTTCAGCAAATGATGCATTTCAGTCCCAGAAGCTCATCCTATACATTAGATATTGGCCAAGGAAACTTTATAATGAGAAATTTCAAGAAACATTGGTTCTGACCTATTGAGACTACTACAGCAGTCAGAAAGTCTTGAGGTCTAGAATGCATAAATATATTATGATTAATTTTTAGAATGTAGTGTTATATTTCAGGATCATATTCCATTGACACAATTCCTGTGTGATTTGAATAAGTTTATACTTTATAGCATGTTCTGGCCAATATAGGGAAATATAGCAGAAAATACAGATTGTTAATGTAAATGATTTACCTGATGATGGCCATAAATGACCAAAACATGATGCAAAGAAAAAACAATGTAAATTTATTCAGTTTTATAATGTACGGTTATTTAAAATTGATTCATGCTTGCATATGTAATTTTGAGTCCTTTGTTTTAAACCTTTTAAGGTATATTCAAGCAAGCAACTGTCATAGAGTAATATGTGGTAGCAACATGGGTGTTGTTTCCAACAATGAATGAGCAACATGGAGCACTGGAGCACTATATAGCAGCCTTTATTGTCCCAATGTTCCCTGGTAGGCGATATTGAAAACATATTTGACTGGCCTTTTGTACCCCATGATTATATGCTACAGACCATTCCCCCACTGCATGTGTTATATGTATTTGTTCTGCAGGAAAAGAACGTGATATCTGTAATTTTATGTGGGCTCAGTGACACACATTGCTGCCACTGAAGTGTGAAGTAAAGTATAAACTATATGTCAAATGCTTACACATAGTGTCACTCAGATGTCTTAACTCATAAAGAGCTTAGTTGACTGCTTATCAGTGGCAGAAAGAGGTCAGGGAGAACTGATATACGTAGTAGAATTGGCATTACTGAAATGGACTTACAGTGTTCAAGTACGAAAGCAAAATGTGATATCAGTTATGCCTACAGCTCAGTCGTCCATTATTGAGTCATGATTGTTGCATGGATATGTAGAATCCATACGAAGATTTCTGTGGTTGTGTTTTACTCAAAGCTTAATGAGAAGACTTCCAGGACAAAATGGGAAGCTCCCACATAAAAATAACATGTTGGGTTTGTCCGTTACTGGCAGACTATCCGGCTTGAGAACTCTGATCAGCAGGGACTAATCCGCTGAGCACCTTCATTTTTTTTTCAGAAGTTCCCCAACTGTGTATGGAAGAGATGAACATGTACTGTTAGCAGTATTTAGGTACCCATGACAAAGAGTTTCATCTCTCATTTGATATGACAGTACATGAAATATATTTGTTTAGGACATGACATGAGTTACCAAACCGTCTGAAGGACTGTTAGTAGACTCTAAAACAGTTTCATGCATATATTATGGTCTTCGGGGTCATGACAGTGTTCATTCTGGTAGGTGGTTACCAGTGTTTCAGATTAAGATACTGCCTCCATCTTCAGAGTAGAAGGGAATAAAGTCTGAAAGAAGCAGGGAGAAAGGACATAAGTCACAAATGATACATGTTTTTAGCTCACTTCTAGGACCAGGAATAGAGGTGACATAGTGACCCTGGTTTGGAAACACAGAAACATGTTTGTATTGTGACTAGTATGAGCCCTGCTATGCAAGGTAGCTCAGGCAGTACTGTTTCTGACTTGTATTCAGGAGGTGATCATTTTGAACCTTACTGGAACACTGACCATCTTGAAATTTCTTAGTTTGCGTCAGTCCTTGAAGGTACTTCAAATTGGATGATAACCACTTCATTCCACATATTTCCAATAGTTAAGTCATCTAATTATGCTACCATTCAGCCCTTTATAGTCTCTGCTATCAACAGCTTTGCTGAATAAACTGTAAATGTAAGTGTATAAACATCACCAACAAATTGGCTGTAGTGTGATAAGCATGGAAATACTATGAAACATGCAGTTATACAGGACTATAAGAGAAATGTGTTCTTCAGTCAAGCAACGGAGTAGCAGACACATACATGATATTATATGGTGCAATTCAGATGCAGTTCCTGGAAGCCAGCAGCAACCAGAGTGATTGTAGTGTTGTGTCCCATTCATAACAAAGATGAGTGTACACCTTACTGATGTGAAAAAATGTGCTATCGGCCTCTGTATTATGTGTAAGCCAAGCAAGAAACCAGCAGGGGTGGGCGACAGGCTCAGCTCAGCTCAGCTTGCTTCCTGCTGTGGCAGTAGATTTCTGTCAACGTTGCTGGCAGTATAGACCAATAAAATTTCAAAACATTGCCCAGAGGTGATGAATTTTTATTTCTTGTCTGAATGTACCTTTACAGATTACTGTTAGATAATGACATACAGAGGGTTGAAGTACTGTCAGTACATTTATCCTCTTAACTACAACTTGCTTCTGTCTGCTAGGTTTTTATGTTTAATTTTTCCGTAATAGTAAAATATGTAACATCATGATTAGTTCAGTTATGATTTTAGGTGGAACTGTACACCCATCACAATTCTATGAAGAATATAACAGCAAACCTTGTGAAATATGGTTTACACTTGTGTTCAGTCCACCTTGTGGATGCTCATTACTGCAGTGATCCTGGTAAGATAACCTTGTAATATTTAACTCTTTCACAGATTCTTGGAGTTACATTATAGCATATGTTAGTTATATGAAAGAGCAAAACCCATTTATTGCAATGTCACATCAGCTCTCTCAGAGAAGGAGAGTAATGTTAATTTATTAGGTGTCAATGTAGATGTAACACAGAAACTTTACCAAATCAGAAAATAAATAACTAACTTTACATATACACACATTCTAAATTAGCTAACTTAACACGATGGAGTAGAGTCCTTGAGAAATTAATGCCATAGTTAAACTAAATGAGAAATTTTACCGCCTTTCACATAACTTAAGGTTTATTAACATGCGTAAAAGAGCTCACTACTGCACCTATCTTGAATCAGAGGAATCTAGTTCACATACTCCCACACTACTTTAAATTTCATTTTATGTTATATGTACATCTGCACCAGGGTTTTCCAAGTGGTCTCCCCTTCATGTTTCCAACTAATATTTCATGGTACGTTTTTATTTCTCCTGCATGTGCTACATACCCATCCCATTTCATCCAGCTTCATTTAATTACCCTAATGATATCTGGTGAAGAGTACAAGTTAGAAGTTCCAAATATTCGTCTCAGCATCTGTTTTCAAAGACCGTCATTCTTCCCTCAGAGTGAGAGGTCTGAGTTTAACATGACATAAAATAGCATGTAAAAATACAGTTTTATCTTAATCTTTACATTTTTAGATAGGACATGGGAAGGCAGTGGATTCTGACCAAAATGGTAGCAAGTATTCGCACATTGAATCATATCTTAGTTTTTTATGAATATCATTTTGATTTGCTACTGCCATTTCATACAAAGCAAAATATGTTTTCTTTTTTCATGTTATAGGTCTGTCACTGTAGAGTATTTCATGACCCTGCTTGAATGATGCTTGTGTTTCTCAAAGTTAAAGACCCATTCCTCTCAATTTAGTCTTTGTATAATAACACTTTCAGAAGCTCAGATTATGTAGTATCAAATGACAGGACAGTTATGGAACATTGAATTATGAAGTATGTGGACAGAATTGTTCATGTATAATGTAAGACACTACCCTGGCATTTGGCTTGAGGGACAAAGGAAAACCATGAAAGAGTACAGTTAGGATAGCCATTCACTGAGCCAGGATCTGGACATGGACCACTCTGTACAAATCTTGAGTTCAAACCACCTAACTGTGACAGTGAGTTTCCAAGGACTGGTATGGCTGTGTAGTTATATTGTTGGCAGCACAAAATTGAGAAGTATATTCTCCACTGGCATGATCTTCATTTAGTTTTTAATGGATACCGGCTCATTTATTAAAAATATGTCAGGAAAGAAACAGACACATATGAGGGTTGGAACTTTAATAGTGGTAACTATTTATTTACAGCTGATACAAAATAGATGCATGTTTCGAAGTTTTACTGTCCTTCAGTGTAGTCACCAGCATTGTCTACAACCCGTTGCCAGTGATATGGAAGTCGTAGGATACCTTTAGCAGCACCTGTTGTGTTGATAGTTCGAAAGGAGCAGTCTTCTGCCTGAAGAATCTCTGGAACAATTCTGAAGTGAATGCCATGAAGTGGTTCCTTCATCTTAGGAATCAAGATGTCACAAGGGCTTAAGTCCAGGGAGTATGCTGGATGGTACAGAACTTCCCAGCCCCATCAATTGAACAAATCAGCCACAACTCGCGCTGCATGCGGCCAAGCATTATCCTGCAAAATGTTTGGTGGGTTCTGCAGAAAGTGTTGCCGCTTCTTTCTCAATGCTGATCGCAGGTTATGTTCCAAAAATGAACAGTAATCCTGTGCATTAACGGTCTGCTGTCGGGGAACGGTGTGCGTTAGGATAACACCGTCAGTCATACATGAGAATCACCATAACTTTCACATTGCTGGGTTCTGACAAACTTTGACTTTCGTGGTGACCCGTAATGATGCCATTCGTTCAATTCACGTTTCATTTGTGGCTCTTACGATTTGGCCCATGTCTCATCCAGCATAATGATGCGGTGTAAGAAAGCCTCTCCTTTGCACTCATAGTGCTCCCAAGTGGTTACAAGCAGCATTGTATCATAGCCATTTCTGTCAAATCATGAAGAGCCCATCGTGGTGTAATTCTTCTCATCCCAAGACATTCCTTCATATTGTGAAGCACAGTCGTATGTGCTAATCCTGTCTCTTGGGCCAGCTCATGAATCGTATGGCATCGATCACTCTCCACTAACACAGAAAGAGCATACACTTCTTCACTGACACTAGGATGACTTGGCCGATGCATGTCTGCCACATTTTGGCGTCCCTTGTTGAAGGCTTTTACCCACTTTGCCATTGTTCTGTAAGGCAATGCAGATTCTCCACAAACCTCTTGAAGACCTTGTGATGACACCGTCATGCTGTATGGCCTCTGGCACATTCAATCTGTATCACACTTCATTGTTCCTGTTTCAAAAACATCGTGACAACACCACATTAGACCGCCAGCTAACATGAAGCTCTGATCTTCTCATCACTGCGGATGCTCATGATGTGGGAAGGGAGAGTCCATTTGCTCTGAGGTGAGATAGGTATGTAACTTGTGGTATAAGCAACATTATTTGGTTCCATTGCATGGCATCTCTACAGCAGTGTTGCCACTATTAAAGTTCCAACCCTCATAGTAACATGTTATTACCAAACCCCCTCCCCTATAATAATTATTAAAGATGCTTCTATATCCACTGTGATTTTGTCTTCTCCAGTGACAATAAAATTGGGAACGTAACTTACATTTTAACCAAGAACGCTGCAGGCCCTGCAGCAGGAAATTGAAGTTGCATGTGCTGCTGTTCCACCAATACCAATAGAAAAAGTATGCTGCTCTTTGCTGTTGTCAGTAATGTGTTAATATCTGTCCATTTGACTCATTAAAATATAAGATAATAAAACGTTTACATTTTTTGGGACACTATAGTGTAAATTCCAGCTTTGACATTTATGCCAGAATGTGTATATACAGTATGTGGTTATAATAATAATTTGTGAAAATGTTTTATATGTGGTGTGATGATGACTTAGCCAAGAAGGTGGCATATATTTTGTATGTAACTGTATAAAATCTGTGTGCAGCACTGGTTGCTGTATAGGGTCAGTACAGTATTGTAAAAAAAAAAGGCATGACTAAACTTAATTTCTTTATTTGAATGTTACTCTTTTAAGTTTTAGCCATTATATATATATATACATATATATTATGGTGCTGATGAGAAAAGCAGCCATATATAGGTTGAACAGGTATGTCTGGTTGTAAAGCACATATTGAAGGTTTATCCTTTTTGAAGACCAAGAAACCAGGCAGGAGGATGTTCAGAGTTTCTACGTTATTGTATGCATATATTTTGGTGTTTTATCCCATTTGCATTTTGGTATATAGGTAAATTCATCTCTGCATTGCTGCTGTCCCTGTCTACAATGCTACAGATGGAGCTGCCACATATCAATGTCTTGTCCAAGATAGACCTTATGGTTCAATATGGAAAGAGTTTACAGTTTGGAATTGATTTTTATACAGAAGTACTGGATCTCGGCTACCTGCTCGAATGTCTTGATGAAAATCCCATTACCCACAGGTAAGAAATATGCTAAGTAACCAAGGAAAGAACACATGATCAAGAAGTGTAAATTTTGTTGTTTACCACTGTTGAATGGAAAGTAGATGGCAGTGTTGAATACATCTCTGAGCTAACGCTTCACCATGTTGTTGAAATGTGAAGAACAGTACTATTAAAGACAGTAAAATCTGCTTATAATGGAATTCCATATTCTGAACATCTGTTTGCTTTTGACACATTTCCATATACTTTAGTCTTTTTCTTCTGTTGGTCCCACTTGGAACATAGGGCATCTGTGAAATGTTTCGTTTCACTTCAGTTTCTTAATCTAAGACAGTATGACTCCTTGGACAGGGGATCAGCCTGGCACAAGGCTGCTACCTGACACAGACAGACATCCATGCATTGAGTGGGACTTGAATCCATGATCCCAGTGTTTCAGCAGGCAAGGACATTTCATGCCTTAGACCATGCAGCCACTGTGATCAACCCATACTTTAGTCACCAGTAAATACAAAATATTGCTCAGTACTCTTCATCTGTTATATGAAAATGGGAGCTTTTATCTTGTGTAGGCAAATGTTCATAAATAAAGTGCTTTGTGCTCAGTCAAGTCACTCAAGATGGGACTCATGGGGATCATCATTTATAGGTTGCAGAATGTAATTCTATGTTTCATAAAATCTGTAACATATTCATAATGGTATCATACAGTACCTTACAGTGAAGTAACTCCCATGAAAGCCCATGGGTGATAATTTGACAAGAAAGAAAGACCAGTGTGTGGGGGGGGGGGATAGTAAACACCACACACATGTATTACATGATAACTGTATTGCACAAATTTATTGCCCATAATGTTACTTTACAGGATTAGCAGATGCAGTAGGTAACTTCAGTCGGGTGTTAATAATGAAATAAAAACATACATGACACTAATAGTCTGCTGGCTTTACAAGACTAGTGCTAAGATCAGGCCTGCACATATTCTGGGACATTGAGCCTAGAATTTTTTTCTGTCATAACCTTACTAGTGCATGGACCATCAAAGATTATGAGCAAAATTATTTCCTTAATTTTCTTTATCCCCTTCATATCTTTGTCTCCTTCCCTGTTCCCTCCTTCATCGTATTTCCATCTCTGTTGTTTGTCCATCACATGCCACCTTTCTTCTTCCCAGTCCTCATTAAAATTTCCATCATCCCTGTTCTTCTCTTCTTATATCCCTTAATCTCCACCTGTCCCTTTTTCAATTCATTTTATTTATCAATTTTGACATCATTCCTGTTCCCAGTTCTAGCAGTGGTAGAAGATGGTTTGTGGTTTCCCATATTTTAACACCAGGTTTTGTGTTTTCTCCAAGGATTCTGAATTTGATGATGTTTCATAACTAATGCTTATTTATTGCAGTCAGTTTGATGGAACTTATTACAAACGATTTAATTGTATTCTTTTGTCACAAAGGTACAAGAAACTAAATGCAGCACTGGTGTCACTTGTGGAGGATTACAGTTTGGTAACCTTCATTCCTCTAAATATAAATGATCAGCAGTGCCTGTTGCGACTCAAGAATACTGTTGATAAAGCTAATGGCTATATTTTTGGATCTGGAGAGGAACGCAGCGTACAGGCATTGCTTTCAAGTGCTGTTGGAGCAGAGTATGAACATGAACGAACTGGTTTTATACGAGATACATATTCAGATGATACACAAGAACATGATGCAGACTCTCTATAATTTAGAACTGTCCTTCATGATTGTCAGTTCATATTTTTGCTTCTAAAATTGCAATCATTCTCTTAATATAGAAGTTCTTGTAATCTTCCGGAAGTGTGTCTAGATGTTTTGTGGCATTCTCAACCATTTGGAGGGCCTGAAACAAAAGACAGCAATTGTCAGAACTGTGATTCAACACTATTATTCTTTTGTCTTGGGTTTATATAATATCAGTAAATGTTTAATATTATGTATTCGTGTTTCTTTTAATGTGGAAGTAATTGATGTCGTCAAACCTAGTGTTTTTGTATAATTTCTGTAGACATCAGTGCAGCTATTGTCAACAAGTAAGGATCCATTTTATTCATCTTGAGTCACAAATAAGTGGCCAAGAGAGTTCTTATAGATTATATTTGCATTATGTGTGAGAACAGTGAAGGGAGAGCTGTATCAGCACATTTTCTCAGAATTCAACTTATTAGTTCCAGTGAAATCTAAACTTTGGAACTCACTGTGCTGAATATTTAACCTATTCTTTCATTTTTATTTTATATACCTTTTGTGGTGATTTGGATTAAAGAATGTTTCTAAATGCTTGCTAATTTTATTGATAGGGCTATTAATGTGCTTTTGTGTGAGTGCACATGAGCAGCTTGGACTATACTTGTGTCAGGCATCAGCTGTACATAATGGAATTTCGTATGTTTCTCAATGTAAAAATCACTTCATTTAGTGTCGTTTTAAGCCCAGTTACATTAGTAAACATCCTCTACTGAAATTATTCATCTGTTTAGACTTTAAATAAATCCACTGCCCCCTAGGAGTAAATATTAAGATGGGGTTTTATTTGTATGCTAGAATGCACATTCAGACATTTGGTTATGGAAATCTGCATTTTCATAATCCTTATTGAAAATTGGTTAGTGGATAAGCAGTATACGCATAACATTAATTAAGTTGAAGAATGCCATCTTCTGGGATGTGGCACCATGTAGATCCTGTGTGAACTGACTTTTCAGAGGAACGTCTGTTCACACAGGATCTACATGGTGCCACATCACAGAAGATGGCACTCTTCATAGTCACTGCCATGAAAACCTCAAATCATACATTTATAAAACTTTTTTAAGGTCTGGAATTCTCACGACAATCACTGTAAAGATTCCTGTCTTCTTGGATGTGACAAGTATAACCTAGTAGATCATTATCAACATTTGCGAAGACACTGTTGCCACCATCTTGTCATGAAGACAGATACAGCAGGTTCTTCCAAAATGTTGGCAACAACTTACCAAACAATACTGCATCACATCCCAGAAGACTGTAATCCTCGTTAATAAAACAGTTCAGTGATTCCATGCCAAACCATCCAGGCTACATAACCCATCACCTATTTTGTAACTTGCTTGCAGAACATAGATATCTGTGTAATAAGTAGAAGTAATGTTGTCCCTGTGCTTAACTAATTAAGCACTACTACATGAAGGCGTATGGGCGAGTGGATGTATAGATCCACACTATCTTGACCTCGGAGGTGAGTGTTCAGCTTCACGCCCATGCCGCTTTACCTCTGGGGTAAGAGCCACTGATACCCATTGGATAGGAGGCTGGGTGGGCCCTAGAGCCAGTCTGGACAATGTGGAGAAAACTCTTGATCCTACTGGGACTCAAACGCTGGCCCCTCAGTTATCCAGCCCATAGCCAGTTGCTATACCGAATGCACTATGTGAAGTCATTAAAGAAGGAACCCTATGTGTGTGTGTGTGTGTGTTAGATGGGAATGTAATAATTGCTCTCTGTGGTTAAGATACATTCAACTGTGAACCCATGTTTACTGTAAAGTCAGACTGACTCATAATTTTTATAGTAGCAGTTCTTTTCTTTTATCCATAGAACTTACTGTACATGCATAAACTTGGCCACTGCTGTCTTTAATAATTTATTATGAAATGAGTAGTGAAAGCATCAGCTGTAGCTTAATGAGTTTACTGTTAAGGTCTAAGTTATTTAGTTTGCAGATCTGATTTTCTGATTGGTAGTGAGGTTGAGGCATTCCAGGATAACTTAGAACAGATTGGATGAGCTGGCAATCAGGTTGGTTTCTAGAAATGGCAGAGATTTTTTCTTCTCCGGTGGCCAGACTGTCTCTGAGACCCACCCAGCCTCCTACCCAATCTGTACCAGGTGAGGCATGAAGCTGACCACTCACCTCCACATAGTGCAGAAGTCAAAATACATAATGCCTTCAAGACATAGTTCTTAATTAAGCATATGGACACCTTTACAGTTTAGCAAAGTTAGGTTTGTGTACAAGTCACAGTGAAACAAGGATTCTCTGTCTAAATCCACAAATATCCAGGAGTACATTAATTACTGCTCTTTGGCTCTGTGGTCCTCAAAGAACCTTGGCTTCCTTTACAACAGATGTCCATTCTACTGTTATTTTGCCTTTGCCTTAACTCTTGTAAATCATTCTCCATGTGTTCCAGCCACTTCAATCTGTATCTACTCTTTTACCTTCTGGCTTGCTTTGAAAAATTTTCATAGCCACCCTTATTTGATCCATTCTGATTCATGCTCCAACCACTCCAGTCTTCTTCTAATATCTGGTACCATATCAGGGGTTTTACATAGTTTGTTCTGGTTTTGATTCCAATTCTTCAAACTCCTTGTTCAGTTACTAGTCCATGCACCTTAGAATTTTCATATGCCATATGTTTTAACATAATTTTATCCTTACCATTTATGGATCACATTTCCTATTCATAAATCACAACTGGTTTTTAACATTTTTCTGTATATTATGACTTCTGATATTCTGTTCACAGTTCTACAGTTTCATATGTTGTAAAGTATAAAAACATTTACTGCCTGAGTTATTCACTTCAATTTTTCCCTCTTATCAAAGCACCTAAATATTTAATCCTCTTCAGATACTTTGCCATCACTATTCAAATCCTATGTAAATTTCTCATAAACATTATGCACTTGGTCATGTTTGCATTCATTTGAAAGAGACTTTCAAATATGTATTAAAATAAATTTACAGTATTTAAATCAGTGACTTCCATTCCACTCATGTCTTTATGGAAACACTTGGCCTGAGAGTGATACCTATGGATTAGGAGGTTGAGTTGGGTTGGATCAGGCCAATGGATCATCCTGGTTGATGCAGATGAGAGAATGAAAACTGACTAGGTTTATATATTAACCCTTCAGACTATAGCCTACTCTTATCCCCACAACTATGACAGTTGACAAGAAAACCACAGAATGGGATACAGGTACACGCCTCTATTAAGCGGAGAGATGTGGGGATCTCAGGGTCTCATGTCAGTGAATGTGAGAGATACAGCTGTCTAGGTTGCAATGCCATGACATTTAGAGACAGCCTAATGTTTCAGAAAAACGTGTCATTTTCATGGTTGCTGTACAGTGTAACAATGCAGAAAACTACCTTTTAACCAAAAAGATTGTCAACATTATGACAGTTACCCTATTGGCTGGAATAAGGTCCTTGTTCCCATATGGATCATTTTTATCATACAATTCATTATTCAAATTCTTCCAGAAAACATTTACAGAAATTCCAAAGTCCAGTGCCAAAGCATTATGGAACCATAATGCAGGGATAAATATTATATCCCCAGCTTCCATTATACATTCATATCTCTGAGCAGAAAGGAACTTCGGATAAAGTTTACAGTCTGGATTATCAATGTCTAACACCTGTGATTTATCCCCTATAAGATACATGTTCAAAGCATCATTTGGACTGAATAGTGCCACCCTTTTTCGCCCTTTTACTTGAATTAATAAATTGTCCATCACATCATAATGGGTCCACAGCTGAACTCCTGGTGATGCAATGCGAAATACGCTTGAGAAAAAACTATTTTCATTAAAGAAATTTGGAATTTTGATGTCGTCGGCAAGATGTGGAAACTGCTTCCTGATATCTGCAATGTCCCGACTTCTCCTGTCGAATCCCAACGATCTTAAATAATAGAATTCACCAGGTGTAAGAAAATAATCTTCCTGGTCACATGTTGGAGCTGAAGTTCTTTTCACCAGTTCATAAATAGGCAATGTTTTATAAAGAAAGTTTTTACTTGCAAAGTTCATCAGTGGACTTGAACTGACATGAACTTTTACATCCACGTTTCCAACTTTTTCGCAAATGTATTCGCTTGTCCACTTTGATGTGCATTCTCCGATGTCGACACCTCGAAGTAATGCTGGCTCACGCTTTGGGTAAATAGAATTTACAAAACTGTCTTTCGTAACATTTTCATACATGGAAACAGGCCTAACACTCAATGCACTCTTCATTTTACCATATACCTAACCTCACATTTAATATACGTCCATGCAACATTTTACAATACTTCAAGCCGTGAATTCAGGCTGCCCGATACAGTGGTGCCAACGTCAGTAAGTTAAAAACTGTCATGGTAAGTTTCACTTAAATTAAACCCCACTATATGGCTAGGAAAACGCACTGCATATCGTTAACATTTATCATTATTTGGAGCAGGTAGTGTGCCTCCTACTTGCATACATCCCATAAGTAATCTCGTCAACTATGTCCGGATGTCGCTGGGAAGAATACGTGGAATATCTCATAATTTAGAGACATTTTCAATAAAGAATTGGCGGAATTGGCTACCCTGCTCGATTGTGTTAGACGTGTTAGAGGACTTAGAGGACATTCGTGACAAATGCTAAGTAATGTTCGGTCATTGAAACTTTTAAGACAAAAAGTAGGATGGCGTCAGTTACCTTAGAAGACAAGTCTATTTGGGAAGATGCTGAAGTAAGTTGTGTGCCGAAAATATGTTTCTTTTGTGTAAGATATGTAACGTTTGTGAAATTATATGCTATCATGACAAGATTTATTTAATACTATAGATTCACAATAAATTTCATGTTCTGTCCCGTTATCACTCGTCTGTTTATAATTCAGTATCTCACTTCATTCTAATTATTATTTCCATATCTATATTATGAGGATGTTTACATGTTCCTCGTATGAACGTTTGAATATTATTTTCCAAATATGTGTGCCACAGCAGGATGGCAGTATCTGTTCCTATGATTATGTGTTTGTGTGTACGGGGAGACTGTCAGACAGCCTGTCGCAAATCGTAGGGTGGGTTGGACACTCACAACTCGCACCTCGAGGGTTCAGACTCGTTGCGATGTTGATAAGCTAATGGCCTGTACACATTACAGTTTCTCCTCAGTAACGCCTTAGTACATCTTGGAACAGGTGTAGTGAAGTGAGGTTATACAATAGTACATTTTGGAACAGGTGTAGTGAATTTTATGCATTATGTAGCTGTTGGCCATAATTACAAGTGCCTACTAGTGTATTAAATATTCAGTCAGTTGTGTTCCATCTTGTGTAGAAATTCACATCACAGTTACACATTGAAAGGAGTATTCATGTGCAATACCACTATCAAAAGTAAAGGAAGATTTGAGCATAAATTTCAGAATGTTACATTTTCAACTAGAAGAGCTTATTTGTACAGTTGTAAACAAATTTAGGCAGACAGGATTGTATTGGATGAAAAAATCAAAATGCTAAGTCCTCACTGAAGAGATTTGGATGAAGTCTGTACTGGGCATGAACTTTCCCCTTTGATGGACACATTGTAGAGGAAACCAGGGTTTACAGTTTCAAGTTTGATCTATTTTAGAAAAGGAACTTGGCATAGTGCTGAACTAATTAAGCATATGCACAACTTACCTTTATTTCAACCCATCAGTGGAAGCATTTTTATGGAGGTGCAAGGAATGCATGCATAACAACAAAGACCATGTAAGATTTGAGGCTTTCACGGCCATGACTATGAAGAAAGCAGTCTTCTGGGATTTGGCACCGTGTATATGTGGTGTTAACCGACGTTTCGGAGGAACGTATAGCCTCCATCTTCAGGGTAGAAGAAAAAATATATAAGAAATCTGCAAGCAAAGAGACCGTGAGAACCGGTAAAAGCAGATTTCTTATATATTTTTTCTTCTACCCTGAAGATGGAGGCTATACGTTCCTCCGAAACGTCGGTTAACACCACATATACACGGTGCCAAATCCCAGAAGACTGCTTTCTTCATAACAAAGACCATGTCTGACATCTGCTGTGGTGTGGATGTGTTTTGTTATGATTTGTTGGTTTGTGGGCTTGTCAGTTGCAGTGCATGTCCAAAAACACACACAGAGTCATCACAAGGGGCTTGTGTCTTTCCATTGGATTGGCCAAATTATTTGTGGTAGGCTGTCAGATAATCTCCCTCTACTTTCATGTGTGAATGAAGCAGTCGTGGTTTGTAAATAAAGAAGAGGCTCTAAATTTGTGTATAATGTTTTTATTAGTCAAAATAATTTCCCGTTAGTAAGTATTACCAGCTTAATAAATGAGAAGCTCAGTATGCTTTTCAAGTTGGTTTATTCACCACATCTGCTGGGTTTTGGAGCTCAGTTCCTGGTTTCCTGTGAGATCCCTGTGAGGTAACAGTGGTCTGTTTCAAGGTTTGAGGTTCCCACAGCAACAAATCTGAAGATTTATATATTCTGGAATGTGACTACATGTACCAGTGTGTCAGAGGTCTGTCCTGCATCCATGTTCTGGGCAGAAGAAGGTTTCTCCAGAATGTTGGTACCTTTTGTACAGGGTACACAGCATCATGTACCAGAAAACAGTATACCAAGTTAATTTGTGTAATTTTTATTGGTGTGTGCCCTTGATTCATGAGGGTTAAGGCTTCATGGATGAAAGAATGTGTATTCACATCATAGACCTTGAAAATATGCTAACAGTCTGTTCTGTATAACTTTGCTTTTTCCATTGCATCTCAGTCACTGCTTCCATAGTACCACAAAAACTCCATTGTGTCCTTTTTGCTATAGTACCATAGATTCTTAAACCCTTTGATCCAGGAGTTCATACATTGCTGAATACCACCGAGCTGAACAGATATACTACCATGCTGGAAATGAGATTATCTTGACAGATGTTTTGGAGATTATTTAAAACTTATCTTGATAAATGAAATTAATGTTTTCAGGAATCCTTGGGAGAAGATGTACTACGCATGTCAACAGATGAAATTGTTAGCCGCACAAGACTCCTCGATAATGAAATTAAAATAATGAAGAGTGAATTAATGAGAATCTCTCATGAATTGCAAGCCCAGAATGAAAAAATAAAAGAAAATACAGAGAAAATAAAAGTCAACAAAACTCTACCATATCTTGTTTCTAATGTTATTGAGGTATTTATGATATGTTTTATGTGATAATGTGGATCCTGGCTTTGTGTGATGGTACCATGTAGATGTGGTCTGTATTTTCAGCATATACCTTATCCATATTTGTTGTTTGCTTTAAGGATGGAGAGAGTGAGGATCTCCAAAATGCTGGTGATAGAGCCTACATCTGCATAGTGTCATCATACAGAAATAAGAAGGAACCACCTCAAAAAAACTATGAGCTTGGCTATGGGAAGGGGAGTGATGATAGGAGGTACAAATGGAAGGGATGGGAAAAGAATATGGGAGGAAGGAAGGAGATAAGGGTACAAAAGGGGTAGGGACATGGAAAAACAAGTGTGAAGGAACTGTTTGAAGATGAAAAGGGAGATTAATGATAGAATGGACAAATAAAAGGTGTTTCAAAGCAATAATGAGAAAGGAGGGAAGGAGAAGAAGATACAAAAGATGACAAAACGATAGTATTTTAATAGGCTGAAAATTTTAGGTGCAGTGACATGTGGAACTTACTCAGGCCAGCACATTAGTATAGAACTGCTATGATAGCTTGATGTCAGTTTTCATATTCTGTTTTTGTCATTTTAATTGTTATTGTGGTAGTTCTGATAGCAATGATATTGATAGTAGTTCATGCTTTTTTTTGTTTGTTTGTTCTCATCAAGCTGCTTGATGTAGATCCTCAAGACCAAGGAGAAGAAGATGGTGCTGTTGTAGATCTAGATTCCCAGAGGAAAGGGAAATGTGCTGTCATTAAAACCTCAACACGTCAGGTAAGAAATAAAATCCAGTATCCCAGCAAATGTTCATCTGTTCTTTAGAGAAGACTACCAAATGGAAGAAATAGGTTTGGCTCTATTTGTATGCCCTGACACTTCCACGTTAGTCCAGTGCGTACTCAGCTGCATCTATACTCACATTCCTGCCACATGCTGTTTTACCCATGTACATCCTTCCATGACCATTAGTTTCAATTGCAAACATGCAAGTGGTGAACATATTGTCCAGTATTTCAATCACAGTAAAAATGAGAGGTTTTGACATCCAGTTAAGCTTTGTAAAAACAAAAAAAATTACCATTTAATCAGATACTTTTACGAGTAGAAGTTACTTGGCAGTTGTGGGGGTTAATTGGATCACAAGCTCATGAAACTCGTGTTTTCCTGATAGGTCCGTTTGATTAACATGAATTGAGGTGTTACATAAGGCAGCAAAGGAAGTTTTACTTTAAGTTAGATTAAATTCTGTTAAAAGGATAAAAAAAGGTAAAGTTGTCCCTGTGCTTAACTAATTAAGTGCTACGTCACGAAGAGGTAGGGGAGTGGATGTAGAGATCCAAGTTTTCTTGACCTTGGCAGTGGTTGGAGGGGAGTGGTCAGCGTCACACATCAGCTGCTTTACCACTTAGGAGAGAGCTCCCAGTACCCATTGGATCGGAGGCTGGGTGGGCCCAAGAACTAATCTGGATGATGTGGAGGGGAAAAAAACCTTCCCCCTACCAGGACTCAAATTTGAACCCCTCAGCCATCCAGCCCATATCCAGTTTCTATACTGACTCAGCTGTCCTGGCTCTTGAGGTCTGTTGTGGTGTTATCATTTGTTTATGAATTGAATTGAATTGAATTTATTTACATTCTATAAATCCTAAGCAGGTTAGTACCTTTGGATACAGAACACGTCAAAAGGTTACATACATAAGTACAGGCAATTTTAGCTTAAAAATTAATATAACTTAATTTTACATCATTCTCTATTTACATTGAAGTATTCATCTAAAGAGTAGAAGGAATGAGCATGTAGATAATTCTTTAACTCTGATTTAAACTTTTTAGTATCATTGCCCAAGTTTTTAATACTTTGTGGCAGATTGTTGAACACTTTTATGCCAGTAAAGTAGACTCCTTTTTGATATACTGATATGTGTGCCATTCACCAAGTATCGTTGCACAGACTAAAAACAATGGTAGATGTGCTGTAAGTACATAGTGAGTTATTCATTTCAGAACTTCAGAATATGTGACAAAACTCGTTTATGTACTCTGACATGTATTTGAAGGCAGAAGGGGATCAGTTCTAGCAGTTCTTATGAAATATATTAAGTTTATATTTCTTCTTTACAATATTTAGTAATAAACTTCTGTTTAACCATTTCCTGTCGGTGTGCTTGCAAAAATATCCACAGCCAGGACGAGAGGGATTTTAAAATGCCTGCCAAGCCACTAGGTGAAGTATTTTGCCTGAAAATTTGATGCAACAAGGGCGTAAATTTAAAAAGCAAAGTGTGTACTTATATTTTCAATTGTCCAATTTTTGTGCCAACTGAACATTGCTATAATAGTGTGTCAGTGAAGTGGTGGTAGTCTTCAGTGCCAGACACACTGAGTCATAGTCTGTCTATCAAGGAAAGAACCTTTCTTGAAATGAATGGGTTTTCAGAGTATGGCAAGTTACACAAGTCGCCTGTATGTTTTCCATAATTTGGAATTATACTGTGGACATAACCAGTGTCACTGTCAGCTAATACAAATAATCTGATTCCCCACTTCATTGGTTTTTGGGATTATAAGTTTTGAAAATTATTTTTCTCTTGACCCCAACTGTTGATTCATCTGTTGCAATGTTTTTACCTGGCACAGTTTCCTGAAACTGTTCCTGTATATGTTCTATCACCCCATATACTTTTTTCCCCTTTTGATGGCCCAATTGCTTTCTTTGGTGGTATCATTTCCCCACATGCATCATCCAAAATATGTGTAAAAAGCTATCTCTGGACATTACATCACCAAAAAATGTTATCTGTTTTCCTCTCACTAGACCAGTAGTCTTTTATGTCATGTAATAGGATTAGCCCCATTCATTTCAGAAACAGACTTATCTGACCACCTACTCCGAATGGACCACGGGCTTAGTTGAAGTTCCAAAATTTTGTGTTTCACGTACCTGTTTTTTTCAATAACAGTGTTATTCAAAAGCTCATCATTGAAATATAAATTAAAATAATCCATGTGCTCTACACCTGGTATAAGGTTATATTGTGGCTCTGCATTTTTAGTAAATATGTTTGGCTTGGGTTTCTTGTTGCCCATTGTTATGTCTTCCCTCCCATCGATATGCACAACACTTCTTTCACTCTCACACTCACTTTCTGATGATGCATTGCTCAATTCTTCACCCACACTTTGTTCTTCAATTAACATATCACTAATAGATTCTTCGTCCTAGACACACATTGGATTATATTTCCGTTTTTTCATGCGAGAAAGTAGAAGTCTGCCTGTATGTAAAGCCATGCACTGATGTGCAGTAAAATATAAATGGCATTCATTCCTCAAGTTCAAATTATGACTTCCAGATGGCAGAAGGAGGCAGGCAAAACATTCGTGCATGCGTTGGTATAGTCTGCAGTGCCAACTAGTGATGTATGATCAAAATATGACCACAGGAACATGAAACAAACTTTGTTTATCATATGTCAACATTTGTCCATGGAAACAGTCATCATGTTGATTGTGTATCAGTGTTTGACCAGAAAGGGTTAAATAGATATAGAGGCAACACCTAATGCAGATGAGCTCCTGTGCAGTAAATTACCACAGCTTTCACAGGCTGCACATTTACAACTCATTCAAATACTCTGTATTATTCATTTTAGACCTACTTCTTACCAGTGATTGGATTGGTAGATGCAGAACGTTTGAAACCAGGTGATCTAGTAGGAGTTAACAAAGATTCTTACCTGATACTTGAGACCTTGCCAGCAGAGTATGATGCACGGGTGAAAGCTATGGAAGTGGATGAACGTCCCACTGAGCAGTACTCAGATATTGGTGGTCTTGACAAACAAATCCAGGAGGTGAGAAACATAGTATAGTTGTGTATAAAGTTTCAACTTGACAAAATTTTGTATTAAAGCAGTAATGACATATACAAGATTTGAGGTTTTCACGACTGTGGTCTTCTGGATTGTGGACACAATTTGAAGGAACTTTGGGATCCATCTACCAAACTTAATGGAGAGTAATGACATAATCTTTATACACAAATGCAGGCTGAGGCTTATAAAAATGAATCTAGGATAGAATAGAAAGGGAATAGAATATCATCCCTTGCACCATGACCAGTTATGATCTGCTCTGTCCTCATCACTTATCCCCTTATCACATCTGCATAAAACTTTGACTCCTGCTGCAAATGGTATCATCGGATAATCCCAGTTAGTGTAAATGCCCCTGTAAGTGGCAGGGACCAGATAGCAATTCTGCAGATTTTAACTGGGTCCTTTTGAAATCCACTAGTTCCAAAATTCTGCTAAAATCAGAGTAGATGTGGTTGTGAACTGTGTTAATTTGATATGGAAGTGATCAATAAGATATATACAAGGTGGCAGTTGTTTCATTTAAGGAGTTAATGTTGTCATTACTTCGATGTAATTTTGAGTGATTCTGTGAGTTATTATGTATGAAAGGTATGTGCTTTTAAAGATGTTTCTTCACAGTTAATTGAAGCAGTGGTGTTGCCTATGACTCACAAGGAAAGATTTGAAAACCTTGGCATCCAGCCACCGAAAGGTGTACTTCTGTATGGACCTCCTGGGACTGGTATTTATCCATTTTCTCTTCATCCAATATTCAAAATATATTAGTTCGGTAATTGATAATTGAGAATTCAGTGTCATATAAACAGGACTTCAAAAGATATTTTCCACAAGTGAGCTAGTGGAGACTAGTGGTGAGTACATTTTCACCTTTGGTTTAAATGTATTGGTAAATGGGTTTCATTAAGTATCTTTGATTGTAGCTGTTGTTTATGGTGCCCTGTGTATGAGTCTTTTTGTAGGCTTTCCTTAGGAATACTTTAGAAGTTTACAGGCTTTATGTTGGTAATGCTTCAGGCATTCTCAGACCTTAGTACTGCAGTATGAAGAGACAAGATACAAATGTTTACTCTGGCAGCCTTTATATCTTGCAGGCATTTGTACCCATTTGCTGGTTTGTTTTCTCAATTATCTGCTGTTAAGAATGATTTAAAAAATTGCTATTCATTCAGGAAGACAGTGTGGGGTAGAAGTGAATGTTTCCAGTAATGTCAAAGACACATTGAATGTACTGTTTGTTAGTGGATTATTTCCATCATTGGCACAAAATCCTGAATGCCTCACAGTGCATATTATCGGATTCTGATTGAATTCTGATTCTGCATTAAAGCAAAGGTTTATTAATTCCATTTGATTAATCTCTGTGTAGATATAGCTCATTAATACCAAAAATGTGGAGAGGGGTCTCATTAGTACTTTCCATAATTTACTGACTGGTTTCTGGAGATTCAAATAAGTAAAAGAGTTCGTAAGGAAATGTATCTGTAGAGCCTTCCTTAAAAAAGTTATATATATTGGAAAATAGCGTCTGTTGCCAGCACATTCTGAAAATACAACATTCCTGGAGCATTTTGTTTGTTTTGCATGGTGATTGTGGATCTCCATTACATGCTAAAACCTTGTGCTGATGTTTACAGTGCCTGCCAAACATTCTTATTCCACATATACAGCACAGTTATAGACAAACACCTATATGCATTACATTTTGTTCCAGTCTCAGGAATGCATATCACATAGTGGGCCAGCATGGATAGTGGCTTTTCATTTCATGAATCAGCAGACATGCATCTTGTCTAGGAGTATTCAACATAAATGCTACAGATGCTGTAAGAGATAATGTAGAAAAATTCCATAATCCAAGAGCACCAATTCATTGTAATTTCCTTTCTGTTGAGTGCTAACTCAGAGATGGTAATATTTCATGGAATGTAATAGGATATCAGCAGTCCATGTATGAATGGAACAGCTTATGCTTGAAGTTGCTGAGAGACAGCCCACCATTAGTACCAGATGCTGTTCAGCTTGTACAGGTATCCCACATGCCTCCATACACTACACATTACAAGAACAACAGTTGTATCCCTGTTACATTCAGACTTTGAAAGAGTCAGTACCACCTGATGCAGCTACAAGACATGCATTCTATTAATGGATTTTGCAAATGTTGACTGAAGACTCTACATATACAGCAACGATTTTATTTGCAGATGAATGCTTTATTAGGACTGGGATCACCAATATTCACATTGAACATATGTGGTTAAATGAAAATTGTAATGTGATTGGATCTCGGCATCAGCAGTGACACTTTTCCATGAGCCTGTTGTTATACCCTTATGGCCTAACAAAGGAAAATTTAAACTCTGGGCTCTAAGGTGCCCCATCGAATTGTTGCAACCTAAGAAAATTGGTACACAACACAGCTTGCCTAACATGTGGAACGTCTTGCTTGTAATCGCGAAAACAAGCAGTTGTAACAATTTGTAGTAAATTCCTTGTGTTTATTGAAACTATGAAGAAATGCTGACTCACAGCAGTCTTCCATTTTACAATCCTTAAGTCAGTCACTATGGGGGTCTAATATCAAAAACATTGTACGAGTTGCTAGGGTAGCGTACTGATTCTGTAACTATCATACCACAGACGGAAAACCACACCAAGAAGGCCATGGGACACAGACTACCACTTCATCATTGTATTCTTATGCAATGAAAGTAAATGATTCCACATAGTTTCACTGTTGACCAAAAATATGCTTGTAGGGCATTGACCTAAGGCTAGATAAATATGAAATTATCTGACTTAACTCACATTGAAATGAGTATGTAAGCATTGAAATAAACATAGGCAATAGCAGACCCCCCTCCCCCCCCCGGTTTTACAAAGTTTATTCCCTAGAATCCCGACCACTGAAGAACCAGAAACGCTACTAATAGTAATATGAGGAGATAAGATTTGACGGTGACCCTGACCCCCTGCCTTGAAAGACCCACAGTCCATACAGCCCCTTTAAGAAGATATAGGTTTCCAAGGTGGTTGACGCAACTTAAGACTACCACATCATTACAATGATGTCAGCAGCTTTAGATAGTATAACACCTGTGATGGGAATTTTAGGTGATTGCCACATAGGCTCTCATATTTTCTGGCATAAGGTGGTTTTTTCTTACCTTAATTTTCTTCATATACACTTAAGTTCTTTTTACCAGCAAATTGGAACTAAATTTGAGGAAGAAACTAGTGAAATGCTACATTTGGAGCATAGCTCTGTATGGGGCTGAAACATGGACACTTAGGGCAGTAGATCAGAAACATCTGGAAAGTTTCGAAATGTGGTGTTGGAGAAGGATGGAGAAGATCAGTTGGACCGATTATGTGAGAAATGAAGAAGTGTTAATTAGAGTCAGTGAGCAGAGGAATATCCTACATGAAATAAGAAAACGGAAGGCTAATTGGATTGGTCATGTTTTACGCAGAAACTGCCTTCTAAAAGAAGTTATCGAGGGAAAGATAGAGGGGCGGATAGAAGTGACAAGAAGACGTAAGAAGATGCTGGATGACCTTGGGGACAGAAGAGGATACTGTCATTTGAAGGAGAAAGCTCTAGATCGCATTAAGTGGAGGAATTGTTTTGGAAGAGACTGTGGACCTGTTGTCTTGACAGATTACTGATGATGATGATGATGACGATGACACTTAAGTGGATTATTTGGAAGATCTTTCAGTATGTGATTTCAGGTGTGGTTTCAATATGGTGGTGAGCCACCACATTACAGTAGTCAGGTTTATCAATGGCTGTCCAAAATTATGTTGGATTGGTTGTGAATCTGAAGTTTGAGTGTCCTGGCCTGCACATTCACCTGATCTTGAATTCATTCAATTGTTGTCTTTGAATATATTTGAAAACAAAGGTTTATGCCACTACAATCAGTACTAGAGAGGAAATGTGGCACAAAATTAGACAGTTTGCAAGGGAAATAAAGAATACACGTGGATATCCAAACACAAGTTTATTTTCGCACAGAGCTGAGTTGTGTGTTCATAAAGATGGAGGCCATTTCAAGCACTTCTTGTGAGAAAGTATAAGTAAACAGTTTAATAATAACTGCTTTGTGTTTTTTCTTCTTATATCCAACCTGTTCAGCTCGAGAAGTTTTTAAGTTTTGTCCATGGAAGTCAGAATCAGAATAGCTATAACTTTTTAAGGAAAACCACCAGGGTACACAGTCATATGAACGCTTTTACTTAATTTGATGTCTGGAAACCATCCTTTAAAATATGACATGTAATAATGAGGTATTTTATATATAGCACAGAAGCATGGTTTATATCAACCTTATAGGTTATATAGCATCAAATAGGAGACTGATGGTGATTGATGATTTGTAGTGAATGTAGAAGATAGTGGTCATGATCTGTTTCAAGGTACCATCCCAGCATTTGTCTGGATAGCCACAAAAACCTCCAGTATGATGGCCTGCCGCTGGACATATAATAACATCCAGGACCTCCAAATATGAAAGAGGAATGATAACCACTGGACTGCAGTGTTCAGTCATATAAGCATATCCCTTTATCCATGGTACTCGTGTACAATTGATTTTCCATATTGAATTGTCTCAAGAAGAGAGACTAAACTGCATGTAACATGAGTATCCAATTTTTAGAATTATGTCCAATATTCTGTCAATTTGCAATAAGAAATGGAAGAAGTATTTTTGTCACAAAGCGAAGATAAATTAATATTAATTTTAATTGTATTCTGTTTTCTCTTACCTCAGGTAAAACTCTGCTGGCACGAGCCTGTGCAGCTCAAACAAAATCAACATTCTTGAAGCTTGCTGGTCCTCAGTTAGTGCAGATGTTCATTGGAGATGGTGCCAAGTTAGTACGTGATGCTTTTGCATTGGCAAAAGAGAAAGCACCTGCCATTATATTTATCGATGAACTGGATGCTATAGGAACAAAACGATTTGATTCGGAGAAGGCTGGTGACCGAGAAGTACAGCGTACTATGCTTGAACTACTTAACCAGTTGGATGGTTTTAGTTCCACTGCAGATATTAAGGTATGTGTTATCCGTGTTTTTACACCTGGCCATTCTAATTTGAATTCACAGTGAATTTGGTGGAGGTCACTAATTGAGATAAGGATGTAGTATGTGTGGTTTGGTCAGAAGCTTTGATTACAGTGCATCACCTCCTTTCTTGCACATTGCAACTGCAACCCCTCTCAGCACTTCTTCCCATGCTGCTTCTCACATTCAACCCAGATGTCTAGTTTAAAAATGTGGCCTGTAGGTTATCAAGTGGAGTTTATGGGATATCTTATTTCGGGCGCATTTGAGTACTGCTGTTAGGAAGTACTCTTAACTTTCTGATCCATGTACAATTTGCTAATCAGTCTTCTTTCATGCCAATCGATACCTGTTTCATTTAGGATCTGCATTAATTTGGTCCAGTTTACCCGGTCAAATGCCTTCTGCCAGTCTATGAAGCAAACACACAGTTCTTCATCTATCTCCAAAGTTCGTTCCGCTATAATTCTCATCATCCCAATTGCATCCCTGTTCCTTTTCCTCTTCTAAATCCAAACTGATCCTCTCCAAGTATATCCTCTATTTTCCTTTCAGATCTTCATTTAAGTATCTTTGCTATTATCTTTGCTGTATGTGCAATAAGGCTTATAGTGCGATGGTCGCTGCATTTTGTAGCTTTTGTCTTTTTCTTTAAGGCAATCATTGTAACTTCTGTAAAGTCCTTGGGCCACTCTCCAATTTCATATATGGTGTTCATTAGTTTTGTCAGTGTTTTCAAACCACCTTCTCCCAGTAACTTGAGCACATCTCCAGGTACATCATCATCTCCTGTAGCCTTTCCCTTCCTCATTTCCTTGATAGCTTTTTCCACCTCACTTTGTGAAATATATGGTCCTTTCCCGTCTGTATCTACTTCTTCTTCCGGTTCAACTTCTAAGGTTTCTTGCCGATTAGATCGATCATATAGTTCTGTAATATACTTTTCCCAAATTTTCAGCACTTTCCTCTGATCTACTATTCTATTCCCCTGGGAGTCTTCGATGCCAACATTTTGAATCCCATGATTATTTATATGATGTGCAAATTTCAACTTGTTTGGTTGTTGCACGGAAGGATTACATTTGTTTTTGTGCAGTTACTTTTATTGTCATGTTGAAAGTTTCAAAACGGAACAGAGCAGCTATTAAGTTTTGTGTAAAATTAAAGAAAACAGCAACTGGAACATTTGAAATTTTGAAAACTGTGTAAGGCGAGGAATGTTTATTAAGAGGAAGTGTGTCTGAATGGCATATAATGTTTAAAGAAGCTCAGAAAGTGAGAATGCAAAAATCACAGGTGAAAACAATGTTGACTGCACTTTTTTTGTACTAAAAGTATTATTCATCACAAATTTGTGCCAGAAAAACAGACTGTAAATGGTAAATTTCATAAAGAGGTGATTAAGCGATTGGTCGCTCGAGGTCATCACTTTAGGCTCAAGTTTCAGGAAAGTGGGTTTTGGTATCTTCTGCACGACGGTGCACCGTTGCATTCTTCATGCTTTGGCTCCAAGTTTTTGGCGAAACAAGGGATCTCATGCACCCTACTCCCCTGATTTAGCACTGGTTGTCTTTTTTCTATTCCCTAAATTAAAAATTGCAATGAAAGGGATGAGATTCGAGGCTGTTTCATCAAACCGGCAGACCGTGATGAGAGAACTGAAGGCGATACAGGAAGAAGCATTTTCTTGGGCATTTGATTCATTGTATGAGTGATGTAAACTTGCAGAAGCAGGCATGGACTATATTGAGTGATGATATTAATAAATATTTTTTATCTTTTTTGTGTGATTTTTATGGCCTCGTTAACTTGTCACACTGTGTATTGTACAGCTTGTGCTGAGTCCTATAGATAGCACTAAACTGAGAAAGTTGTGAACATATGAATTAGAACTTAATAGTCATAAAATCTATGTTAAACGTGCCTCTGAATGCAAGACTCTGTATGTTCCTTCTTCATTCTCCAAGAGTAAGGAAATGGTGCCTCTTACAAATGCAGCCTTATTAGTACCCCGTATTTAAGAACTTTCCTTAGTAAAGTTTTCTTTCAGTTCCATTCATAATTATCTTTATTCACATTCCCTTTTGCACAGATGGTTTTAAAATGTATGTAAAATTTGTTTCAGTGTTCAGGGATTGAAACCCTGGGATTACTAATAGGAAATTGTCAGATTTTGTGGCTTAAACGTTGTGTGAGGGTATCATATACAGCTTTTGTATATGGTTTGAATCTGTGATAAGCTTGGTCCTTAAGGAAAATGGAATCCACGTTGCTCTTTTATGAAGATATTGTAGCATGTAGACCCATTGCTAAGTGGTGGCTCTGTAAATAGTAGCTGTTGCTATGTAATGGCCGCAACATACACCCACATCAGGAGAAGAGCTGTGTTTTCTTTGTGGTCAGTATGGGGGCTGTGAAGGGAGTAGAGTGGGATGGAGTGAGTTGAGTTGAGTTGAGTGAAGTGGAGCTTGGTGAGTGAGTGAGTTAGAAGACTGATGAAGTTCAGTCCTTGCAAGCTGTTGCTCTTAAAAACTGGCAGCAGAGGCATGGTGGTAGTTTGGGAACCCAGAATAAGGGGAATGCCTGCTGATGGAAGCCATTACCAAGCAATGACTGGTGAAGATACAGCAAACTGAAAAGACTTAGCATGTGCTGTAGTGAACTGCAGAATGTGTGAATTAGTGATAGCACTATATTTACTTGTAGTTAGAAGTTGTATGTATAAGTGTTCAATAAATACAGTTACCAATCCACGCCCTTGTCTATAGTCACTCAAACAAGTGACAGTATGTACATATGCATTTACTTTTATACTGTTTGCCAGTATCCTTGGATGTATTTTGTAATGTAAATTTATTTATCCATTCTTTGCCAGTCAGAACATTAATGTCACACTTACTGTTCATCTGGTTTCTAAGCTTCTTTTCAGCATAAATTTAAAATTTTATATTGTGTTATTCAAAGAACTAAATAGTTCTGTATGGTATAGTATACTGATATTATTTTAATTTTTATTCTATAATTTATTTTATAGGTAATAGCTGCAACAAATCGAGTGGATATACTAGATCCAGCTCTTCTTCGTTCTGGCAGATTGGATCGGAAAATTGAATTTCCGCATCCAAATGAAGAGGCACGAGCTCGAATAATGCAGATTCATTCCCGCAAAATGAATGTTAGTCCTGATGTTAACTTTGAGGAACTTTCTCGCTCTACAGATGATTTTAATGGTGCTCAGTGCAAAGCCGTTTGTGTGGAGGCTGTAAGTATAATGCAGTTGTGTTTAAAAATATGAATGCTTATGAAATAGTTGTAAGTTACAGTAAGTGGTTTGAGGAAAAGTCACTTGTTGCAACAAGCTCGTTGTGACTTACAAGAAAGCCATAGTGCTATAGGTTTGTCATTAAACAGTCTCATTATACAGTAGAACAGTTCAATTGTAAAGGGTTCTGACAGTGGTGGATAACACTCAGGATTACTGAGTTTTTCGAATTGGATCATGTGGTATTCTAAAGAACACAACTGTCATGGAGACTGAATCTCTTCCTGTCCTGGGATGAAGGGGTGGGCGGCATCAACTCTGTTAAGTCCATTAGAGGAGCCAGCTCCAGTCACAGGTTGAGTGAGTACTATTAACTCTTTTTAATGAACTGAAGAGAGTAGGTGCCTCGCACTCTTTCACCTCATGATTCAGTTTCTAAAACATTCTGTTATTTAGAATATCACAAGATGGACAAAGTCTAAAAACTCAGTAATTCCAGATACAGCACTTGCTGGGGTTAAGGCCTTATTCAGGAAACACCACCAAACAGGAAACATTTCCATATTCTGCAGTCTTTCTTCATTTTGAATATCCATTGTCTTTTAGCAGTACCTTTTTATCACCCATATCAATGCACATGCCTGTGTGTTGAGATGCACATAAATGAAATAATATGTGCATATGGTGCAGCAAGTCTTATATATTTTGCTATTCTTATTCATACATTTCTTTTGTCATTTGAATTAGTATCCAAGTGTTTTACACATATTACCTCCAAAATTGTGTCTGAAAGTTGTGGTGCATAAAATATGTGAATGCTGCGTTTTATAGTTTAATTTTATGCATTTGATAGAGGTGTTCACAGTTGAATGCAGTGTGGCAGCATGGTGTGGATATTCCTGCATACAGACTTCACCTCACAAATCTTTGATGAATATTGGGATGAAAATATGCCTTGATCAAATTTTGACTGATGCATAAATTTGTGGAAAATATGGTTAATGTTGAATGTGATGTGGCAACATGAAATATTTTGCCTACATACTGCACTGTGTGATTCCTCGATGAAAGCTAAGATGAAGATACCCCTCAATAAAATTTTGACCAAATCATAATTTTCCAGAAAAATGTGATAAAAATTGAATTCAGTGTGGCAGCATCGAATGGCTGTTCACGCTTAAATGACTTTCTATGGTGAACATTGAGGCATAAATTCCCCTTGACAAAATTTTGACTCTTGTGTAATATTTATGGAAAATTTGATTAAAGTGGAACATGGTACAACAACATGGTATGGATATGCATGCTTACAGACTCCACCATATGATTACTTGATGAACATTGTGATGACGATGTTAAAATTTTGATTGATTTATGATTTTTGTGGAAAATGGGACTAAAGTTGAGTGTGACATGGAAACACAGCATGGATGTTCATGGTTAATGACCTCACTGCTTGAGTTGTTGATTAACATTAAGACAGAAATGCCACTAATATTTTTTAGTGAATGCATCTTGTTGTGTATTATATATTTCGTTTATTGAAAGCTGTCACAACACAACAAATAAGAATATATGTTTATAGTATCAAGTAGTACTTTACTACATGTTTCAGCTTTAAGAAGCCATCATAAGGTAAACACACTAAATAAATTATTCACAATGACTCATGCCATCCATACAAACATAAAAGAACCCCAATAAATTTCCTCATCAATCACGTGAATAAATACCCACTTTCATACAACAACAAAAACAATGAAGAAACTGTTAGTAGAACAATACTTAATAACAATAATTACCCACAAATCGTTATACAACAAATACTAAAACCTTCCAAAAAGCTTAACACAAGAGAATATGGACCACTTTTACCTTTTTCGGACCCAAAATTAGAACAACTCCTTAACTGTTTAAGAATACGGAAGATGGTATCTTATTTATAACTAGGAACAATATCAAACATTTACTGAGAATACATGGAAATATGAAGATAAGTTTAACTTAAGTGGAGTTTACCAATTACAATGTGCAAAGCATCCACAGAAATATACAGGAAAAACTGGGCGAATATTTAAATCAGATTTAAAGATGTAAGAGACATAAAGAATGGTGGACAAAATTCCAAATTTGCCCAACATATAGTGGACACTATACACGAATACGGAACAGTAGATCAAACTATGGAAATCTTGTACAGTGGAAAGAAAGGATGAATGTTGGATATTCATGAAAGATTTCATATGTATGAAATCAGCACGCAAAACTTCCAATTGAACAACAATTTTACCGAAACATTAAACCCAATATACGACACAATAATCGCAGCCTACCAAGCATAAACAACAACTNGACGCCAGCTCACTAACAGTCGCGGGAGACCCCCAGCTAACACCACCTAGCAGCACAACTCGTAACTACAAAGCATGCATGCGCAACAGGTCGTTTCCGGTTATTTTTTGGTCCCCCCTCGTACGCATAAACGGATGTGCCCATCAAATAGTAAGTAAACTATATAACTACAATAATTCAATCAACACTACATACAACCACTAGAATATTCATTAACAGTCATTGCTGGTATATTATTTCCAGGAAATCAAAATTAAATAATAACGCACAATATAGCAACAGACCTCTAAGCACCATAACAACTGTCTGTGTATACAGCATATCTGCAAAAAGCAACACCTATTATTTCAATTACAACTACCCACTTTGGAATACAGTTGTATATACAACTCTTAACTGTACTTTAATTATGTAACTAGTCCATTTTAAGACTTTTACTTTTAATGTAGTTTTATATTATTGTATACTATTTGAAAAATCTGATACTACATCATGTAATTAGCAGGCAATTCAATAGCTAATAAGTTTTTAAGTATATTTACCTGATGATGACTTCTTGAAAGCCAAAACATGTGGTAAAGTTCTGCTTTATACTACAAACATATATTCTTAATTGTTGTGTTGTGACGGCGTTCAATAAAAGAAATATAAGCCCCTAATATTCTTTTAGCCAGTGCACAATTTTTGCAGAAGGTGTGACTAAAATTCCCCATACCATGTTACCATAATACGTAGGTAAATCAATAATTATCCGCAATGTAGCTATAAATTTTATTTCAATACAAATAGAAAACTTACATTAACATCATTTTTCAACATAGTCCCCTTGCTTTTCAACACACTTGGTCCATCGTTGCACAAGCTTCCTGATGCCCTCAGAAAAGAAAGTTTTCGGCTTAGCAGCGAGCCACGCATGCACCGCTTCCTTCACTTCTTGGTCCGAGGTGAATCGAAGGCCCCTTAATGCCTCTTTGAGTGGACCAAACAAGTGGTAGTCAGAAGGGGCGAGATCAGGACTATACGGAGGATGAGCCATTACATCAAACTTGAGTTTCCGGAGGGTTTCAGCAGTGTGGGCAGCAGTATATTTATTGTTGTGCCCCTCTCCTGATAATGTTCCAGTATTGGGCCTTGTGAGTCCCAAAAACTGTAAGCATCAGTTTTCCTGCGGATGGTTGGCTTTTGAACTTTTTCTTGCTGGGTGATTGTGGATGTTTGCATTCCATACACTGCCGTTTACTCTCCGGCTCGCAATGATGGATCCATGTTTCGTCACCAGTGATGGTTCTGTCATTACCATAGTGATCCAAATGTTGTTGGCAGATGTCCAAGCACGTTTGTTTATGGAACACTGTGAGTTGTTTTTGGGCCCATCTTGCACAGACTTTATGAAACCCAAGTCTGTTGTGGATGATTTCGTAGTCAGAACCATGACTAATTTGCAGATGATTTGCCACTTCATCAATAGTCACTCGTCTGTCTAACAGAACCATGTCACGTGCACGCTCAATGTTGTCCTCATTTGTGGCCGTGGATGGTGGTCCGGCTCCTTCCTCATGTGTAACACTTGTGCGACCATTTTTTAATTTTTCAATCCATTTGTAGACACTCCGTTGCAGCAAAACGCTGTTCCCATATTGTGCTGAAAGTCTTTGATGGATTGCAGCCCCTGATACACCTTCCAACCACAAAAACCGGATCACTGAACGTTGCTCTTCTTTGGTGCAAACAGAAAGCGAAGCAGCCATGATTAACGGCAAGGCAGCAATGATGGAACTGACCTAGCAACATCAAACCTGCACAGAAATAATGACAAGGAAACCATGCATGGCGATGCTGTGCAAAACGACAGTGCTGCCAACAGAAACACAAATACAACTGCATTGCAGATAATTATTCACTTCCCCTCATACATTTAATTTTAATCGCCTTTTTTATGAAAATAATTTAATATTTTCTTTCTGAAATTTCTTGTCTAAAAATGAAGGTGTATTTGTGAGTCCAAGGACCAGTAAAATGTCTGAAAAAATTCTACGGACCACTAGGTTTTAGTGCACAAGAGATCAGTGGAACAGTTTGGACGCATTGAGACACCTGAAGATGGCCATCTGTGGCTGAAACATATTGTGTTAAGTGTCAGATGGTGAATAAACAATTGTTACATTGTTGACAAACTGTGGATAAATAGACGTTTAATTAACGACTTGCAACAGGATGCTGAAATACAGATGAGCTTTACAGCATTGTCTAGCACAGTTTTAAATTCTGGTACCATTCCTTTGGAGGCCAGTGCTTCCCTGTGTATGAAACAATGTACCCAATTCATATCTGGAGCTACTTCCTTGACCTTAGAAACAACCCCATTATACCTGCCTGTAAGGGTGCAAGCTCCATCAGAATAGAAGCCCACACATTTTTCCCACTGGATCCCTTTGTCTCTTATATAATTATCAAGAGTGTGAAATGTTTCTTCTCCAGTTGTTCAGGTTGACAGAGTTCTACAAAACAGAATATTGTTATGAATATTGTTATCATGCACATATCTTATGTGACATATTAACTGTGAGTCATTTGCAACATCAGTAGTCTCGTCTATTTGTAACGCATAATAAGGGCTCTTCTTAAATCTTTCGATTAACTGATATTTTACGTCTCCTGCCATATCGTTAATTCTGCAACCGACAGTGTCATTTGAAAGAGGAATCAAATCAACATATTTTGGTAACTTGTTGCCAAACATAGATTTTACTACATCTTTTATAGCTGTAAAGTAAAAAGTAAAGTAAAGCTATCCCTGTAACAGGCCGAGAAGGCCCATATAGTTGTGAGAAGTTGAGGGTCCCACATTATTTAGACAATCGGCTCAAAGATGGCGGTAAGGTTGTCAGCCTTACGCGCCAGCTGCGCTTTTCTCCCCCGGAAAATTATTAGGTGAATTGAAAAAATTCAGTGACCTCATTGGGAATTGATCCCGCGACCTTCCGGCTTGTAGCACAGTGCCTCAACCAACTATGCTACTGCGTGCCCCCTTCTTTTATAGCTGGAAGAAGTAAATTTTCCCTGATAGAATGAGGTGTCCCTGTTTTGACTATGCACATACTTAAGAAGTAGAATGCTTCCAATTCCTTGCTATTAATCAAACCCATGACCGAAACTGTATTTTTCCCATGATTTAATGTCCTTAAGTGTCACTGAAAAGATTCAGTTGGCTTATTTTTCACATCACAGTGTTTAGTTTCTAAATGTCTTAGGGGCCTTGCCATAGCTTAAGCAGTTAGTCGCTGGCTTCCCACCGCGGCGGCCCCCGTTCGATCCCAGGTCTAGTCAAGTGGAATTTGTGGTAGACAAAGTGGCGCTGGGGCAGGTTTTCTCCGAGCACTTCGGTTTCCCCTGCCAATCTTCATTCCACCAAATTCTCCATCATCACAATCACCCAGGGCAGGTACAATAGGCCAATCAGTGGCTTCTGTGCCGTGTGGACCCAGTTGGACNCGGTTTACACAGAATATAAGAAAAATGACCCCATAGTGAATGAACCACACACAAGTTTTAATTAAGACATATAAGATGAATAAGCTTAACAAGTTTTAGTGAGTGTAAATTTATTATAGTTGACAAATATGCACTTTTTAAATACTTTTTAAATGGTTTTGTGAAGACATCAGGGCATGCAGTGCAATAGATTAGCGTAATTAGGGCACCTGATGATGGCACTATGTTGCCGAAACATGTCGTGAAGTAACAGGTGAAATTGAGTGCACTACAAGACAGCCACTGTATACATATCATGGATTCTAAATGTCATCGGAGTTTCGTGGGTTTCACGCACTCATTTGACAACACTTCATAACACAAAGCACATTGAGGTTTCAGTTCACTTTTATCATCACACCAAGTAAACTCAAATTCCAAATATGAACTGTCATATTTCCTACTATATTTTTTGTTTGAACTGCTTGCTTTTAATATCATTTACTCGCCGTTACAACACGTGTGTCACAATCAGATTTTAGCATCACCTGTTTCATTTGCTTTTTTCTTTTTCAGAGTCCCTGTTCTAAGCCGCTTGTCCGTTATTAAAAATGTTTCCAAAAAATATATAAAAACTGGAGTTAATTCACGACACAATTTGTCCAACCATCACTTAGCACTTATGAAGATATACTGAGCATTTGTTGAAGGAGGAAAACTTTCAGTAATAAATAACTGTAGACAACAAACAATTGGTTGAAATGTGGATAACACATGTTTACTTCAAATCTAACAAAACAGCAAGGGAAAGCGGGAACAATCAAATCATAATGTTGTTTTCCTCTGAAGTTAGTGACAATGCAGTCACATCCTCATACCCTGGAAATACTGGATTTTTGTCTGGTCATTGAAATGATGATGGGAATTAGCTTGTTTTTTTTTTTCAGTATATATTTTATTTCAACAGTTTCTTCTTGCTAATTTAATTTTAATTTGTTTGCTTGGATGATTTTTTATTTAATTTAGTTTAAGTCTGCTTGTGGACCACAGGTTGATAAACGCTGGTATATAGGAACATCCGTGTCAAAATGTTATTTAAAAACCTTAATATGGCTACTGCAAATGTGTGTATGAATATGATCAGAGAAAATTTTTGCTTGAGAACCATTGGATTATAGAATATCTGCAAATTATATGTAGTGTTTCATGACATGTTATTGTCAGATGCACACAGAAAACTTTACACAAGACATTAATTCACCTTTTGCTGTATTATAAGTACAGTATGAATTTTGTGCTTTTCAGGGAATGATTGCATTGCGTAGGAGTGCTACAGCTGTAACACATGAAGACTTCATGGATGCAATACTCGAAGTTCAAGCAAAGAAGAAAGCTAATTTGAATTACTATGCTTAACCCCACAGAAAGCATAAGCCATCTAGCAGTTGCCCTAGGTCTTATCACTGGGGGTGTAATGTGTGTGGTTGGTTATTTGTTGGCTCTGTATCAGCTATCCTTCAAGTTAATATCAGTTTTTCATTATTTTATATGATGTCAGCCTTCATATCTCAAGCTTAATTTATAATCTAGTTTCATGGTCATCTCACTTCAGTATAACTTGCTGATCTTAGCAGAGTCGTCTTTATGTTTACCTTAACTGATATTTCATGTCTTGGGATATCAACAGCAGTGGTTACTGTTTGTTACACATTACAGGCATCTCTGCCAATTGTGTGTATAAATCTTTTATAATGAAAATAAAATATTTTATTCTTCTGTCCATGGTTTTATAAACATTCTTTGAAATTACCATGTTAACCAGGTAAAGTACACAAGGAAATATGACTCAGAGCTAATGTGTATGGCTATTCATATAGTACCTTTCAGGGGCGTGCCAGGGTGTTGCCTAAGCAATGAGCTCTGGGTCATGGGTGCTTGTTTCCATACCTTCAATTTATTTATTATGTGTTGGAGAGTGGGGACATAAACTGATTCACTCCATGGAGCTGTAATGCTATGCTTTGATAATTATTACAGTCAGTTTTATGCCCTTCTTGCAGATTGCTACAGTAATAGACTTGAGGTTGGGGACATAAATATTTTTTATTTCCTTGTTTTAAGTGTAATAATTATTACCTGTTGCTAATGTGTGCAGTCCTTTGTATCCTGNATGTGTTGGAGAGTGGGGACATAAACTGATTGACTCCATGGAGCTGTAATGCTATGCTTTGATAATTATTGCAGTCAGTCTTATGCCCTTCTTGCAGATTGGTACAGTAATAGACTTGAGGTTGGGGACATAAATATTTTTTATTTCCTTGTTTTAAGTGTAATAATTATTACCTGTTGCTAATGTGTGCAGTCCTTTGTATCCTGTTGTTATCTGTCCCTTTTTACATCATCCAATTTGTCATCTCATTCATTCCTGAATAACATCTCTAGTTAATACAGCATCATTAAATTTCCTCAAACCGAACAGTCAAAGAAAGGAGAAACTTTAATTTCCAAAGTTGCAATAATCCAGTCTAGATGATGTTACTTGTCAAAATAAACGGGGAAACCCCACAACACTTTTCATTTATTTCATATTTCCACAGCAGTGAAGATACTCTATGGTCTTAGAGGTTAGTACCAGTGTTTAGGTTAATACAAGTATACTGCACCCATCTTCAAGGTAGAAATACTCGTACCTTGAGGAAGGAGACAGTACATTTCTCCAAAATGTTAGCACACAAACACCAGGCTACTGTGTGCTGTAACCCATAAAGACCACAATATGAACTTTTTCTTTTATGTTTTTTTAGTTAAATTATTAATTATAGCAGTCTATTTTTAATCCCAGTTTACAAATTGCTACATAGTCTGTTAGTTTTGTCATGACCATGCATGCATACATAGACACATACAATACCTACTTACCACTCAGCACTACAGCACTACAGCCCTGGGTGAACCTTGGCCTCCTCTACAACCAGTCTCCACTGCTCTCTATTCCTCATCTCTATCCATCCTTACACCTTCATCTTCTTCATTTCGTTCTCAACACTGTCTGGCCATCTCATTTTGGGTCTTCTGTTTCTTCTTTTGGAATATGTACAGTCCAAGTTGCCATTACAATATCATTGTTCATTGCCCTTTGCTTAGTCTGTTTCCCATATGTTCCTCTTATCCAAGGCAGGTTGTTAGGTTTCTGAACAACATTCTTTTTACAGGATGAGGTTGTTAGCCTCCTGGAGGACCAGGATATCTTTCTTAGTCTAGACTCTACCCTTTGACCTTTCTGGCATGGGTGACCCTACTGGTAGTTAAACTACCACTGGCATAGCTCTCCAAGTCACAGTCACACAAGCTCCACCACCACAGCAAGGTGGAGACACTTTTTGGAGGACATACATATAAATGACATGGCCACCCTAACTGGAGTTCTTTAGATGAACTTGTTATTAAGAGGCCCTTATTAAATTCTGTTAACCAAATGCCATATTTGTCCACATTGGACATAGTTACAACTATTCATGACACATCATGTATTATGCATTACTTGGTATTCCAGAAGTATGACATATGTAAACTTCATGTAAAGACATGTAGAAGAATGGCTGATGCTGTCTAACTGACTAGCCAATTCTGTAAGTAACTCAGAAGGTTAAAATATCACTACCATCTTCATAAGTTATTTATAACCTAGCAAAAACTTGGCATACCCTTTTTTCCCCAGTTTAAGCTGCATTTCTGGTCCACAGTAACAGCACTGGATATTGGTGTAGAATAGTGTTCCCATCTTTTTAATGAAGTTTTCTGTGACCCACCTTTGGTCAGAAGAGTCTGTGTACACACTGTCACAGCCAGAATTTCCTTGAAGTGCATTTTTAGATTGTAAAAGCATTTATGTGACCTGCTCCCCCCCCCCACAACATCATCCTTAGTCCCTCTTGTGACTGTGACCTATGGGTACAGGTGAAAGAACACCAATATGCAAGAGGTATTTCACCAAATTTATCTGTCAGTTAATTAGCATTCATACTTCATATTTCAGAGCTTCTGGGTTTAAATCTTGGTCTGGAGACTGATTGTACTGACTGATATTTTTTTGTTTTTCTCAGTTCCTCCAGGCAGGTGCTGGGACAGCACTTTAAATTAAGCCCAACTGCTTCTTTTCGCTTACCTGTCAGCTCAGTTAACTCGCTAATCGTCCTATTATTTGGTGCTGAAATGAAGCAACTGGAAGCAGCATTAAATAAACCTACAATGAAAATAAAAGGAGGGGTACTTCAGAAATTTCCTGTGAACAGACACGATCAATTAATAAAAATGATATGTTACAATGTAATTATATCTATTCTGTACCCAGTATAGACAACATGCTTTTTTTTTCATATGTTACCTTCTTCTATCTAGCAATTTAGTAGGGTTTTCAGGCATATATCAGTGAGACAAATAAGAATGTATGTGCCTAACTGGTTTCTTTTTATTATCTACTACCCTTTGATTCAAGAGAACCAGCATAATGGGTGATCAATACACATTCCAAGACTTGTAGTTATCATATCGGTTGACTATCACAGTGTTGGATGCATCACTAACTTTATATCATCAGAATTAATGACAGTGGTTTAACAGATGGATAAATATATATAGAAAGTGCAAAAAATTCAGAAAGTAAACATTTAGAGATTAATAGAAGCACCATGCAGGCAATAGTCAGAAGCTAGCAAATGGAATTAAAAATTAAAATAGAGAAAAAAGGTTTTATACTTGAAGGTAGATAAAATGAAATTTTAAGAAATAATATTATTTAACTGCGTTTCTTGCACTGTTAATAGAAATTAAAAGTATAAGAGCAGATTCAGAACTTTTCCTCATTCTTTACTTTTTATCCATTTTGTTTCCCTTTTGTAAACTATGTAAACTGCAACAAAACTGAAAATTATTTTTTAAAAACTACACTGAATTTACATAGCAGTAAATGGTAGTAAATGGCGAGCATAAATCACATAATAGCTCAAGTGGTTAGTCGCTGGCTTCCTACCGCGGCGGCCCGGGTTCGATTCCGGGTCTGGTCAAGTGGGATTTGTGGTGAACAAAGTGGCAGTGGGGCGGGTTTTCTCCGAGTACTTTGATTTCTCGCGCCAATCTTCATTCCACCAAATTCTCCATCATGATAATCACCTGGGGCAGGCTACAATAGGCCAAACAATGGCCGCCATGCCGAGTGGACCCAGTTGGATTCCACCGGCCCCCCTCCCCCGCTAAACGAATTAAAAAAAATAAATGACATAATTTCAGCTCGAAAAATAATTTCTGACCCTTGACGTGGCAGCACTGTGGACCTGTGATGTAGACCGCTGTAGACCCTGTAGACAGCCAATGAAAACAGATTTGTGGTGGAGATTATGAGTGAACCCGGAAATGCATTAATTTGCTTGTATTTAGTTCCTTGATGACAAAGGAACGTTATGGTAGTGGAAGAAAAAAGTAACAAGAAATGGGATTAAATTGGTGTATGTAAGCTTTCGGTAGGTAAAATATGAATACAAGTAGTTACTATCTGCAGTGAAATTATAGGTTATGTACGACGGTTGGAACTTTAATAGTGGCAACTATTTATTTACAACTGATACAAAATAGATGCATGTTTCGAAGTTTTACTGTCCTTCAGTGTAGTCACCAGCATTGTATATAACCCGTTGCCAGCGATACCTTTAGCAGCGCATTTACGGTCTGCTGTCGGGGAATGGTATGCGTTAGGATAACACCATCACAGTCTTACACGAGAATCACCATAACTTTCACATTGCTCGGGTTCTGACAAACTTTTGATTTTCATGGTGACCCGTAATGACGCCATTCGTTCGATTGGCGTTTCATTTATGGCTCGTTCGATTTGGCCCATGTCTCATCCAGCTTAAGAAAGCCTATCCTTCTCACTCATAGCGCTCCAAGCGCTTACGAGCAGCGTAGCATCGTAGCCATTTCTGCATTTCCGTCAAATCATGTGGAACCCATCGTGATGAAATTTTTCTCATGCCCAGGCGTTCCTTCAGAATGTGAAGCAAAGTCGTATGCGCCAATCCTGTCTCTCGGCCCTGCTCACGAATCGTATGGCGTCGATCACTCTCCCGTAACGCGGAAAGAGCATACACTTCTTCACTGACACTAGGACGACCTGGCCGACGCATATCTGCCACATTTTGGCGTCCCTTGTTGAAGGCTTTTACCCACCTTGCCACTGTTCTGTAAGGCAATGCAGATTCCCCGCAAGCCTCTTGAAGACCTTGTGATGAGACTCTCGTGCTGTACGGCCTCTGGCACATTCAATGTTTATCCAACTCCGTTGTTCTTCTTTCCAAAACATCGTGACAACACTACATTAGACCGCCAGATAACAGGAGGCTCTGTTCCTCTCGTCACTGCGCATGCGCGTGATGTGGGAAGGGAGAGTCCATTTGCTCTGAGGTAAGGTAGGTATGTAACTAACGTGTGGTATAAGCGACATTATTTCGTTCCGTTGTATGGCGTCTCTACAGCAGTGTTGCCACTATTAAAAGTTCGAACCCTCGTATGTCCAATATTCTACCATAAAAAATGGAAGTCACGTGACTAATTTTCTGAACTAATTTCTGTTCTGAGATTTTAAACAACTGTAGAGTATGGGATTTACTTGCACATATTTGCCCCTTGTTTATTAAAGGCTTCTTCGTTTCCTTCGTTATTTCTGGTTTCCGATATTTTTTGCATCAAGAAATTGTGGACATCTTGCTGGCATATAGGTGTAAGCTG